GGTTGCGCGGGCACCGGACAAATCGCACTCTCGCCTGCATTTCGCGCACTCGACACGCGCGATCTCCGCAGAGGGTTGGGCGCGCATGGGACAAATCATGACAAATCGCACTCTCGCCTGCATTTCGCGCACTCGACTTGCACGATCTCCGCAGAGGGTTGCGCGCGCATGGGATAAACCGCACTCTCGCCTGCATTTCGCACACTCGACACGCACGATCTCCGCAGAGGGTTGCGCGTCAAGTCTCCAAGTTTCGTACGAGACTTCCTCCAAAAGTCAAGCGGAAACACCCATCGGAGCACACACATCACGCAGCCCTGCCAAGCAGTTTCGCGATTCCAGCCCCTCCAAACAACATCCGCTCACACGCCAATCCCAATGTGACAGCGACATTCACCTCTACCACAACTCACAACCTCACGATTCCCTGCACCTGCCACGAATCTTTCCGCGTCCACACGTCTAACGCGCACAAAGTACTGCGCCTGCCACGAAATGGCCGTCACATCTCGCAACCTGCGGATTCCCTGTGCCTGCCACGAAAATCGCAGTTCCATACCTCAAAACCCGCCATGTGAGCTTCAACAAAATTTGCACCACACCAAACGTTTGGAATGATTTCGACCCGTTCTGAGCACACTCCCATCCACCAAAATCGGCATTTCAGCTGAGACTTGTCACGAAAACCGAGCTTCGATGCCACACCCTGAACCGCAAATACCAATGGCACGGCCACATCCAACACCCCAAAAACACGACTCTCCAAACGCTAATCCCAATGGAACTGCGCGGCACACTGCGGATCTCACAAAACGCTGCGCCTGTGCAGCGAAATGCATCACGTCTCTCACGCGACATGTCATTCTCATGCAAATCACAATGGAATAGCGGCGCACACTACCTTGTGACGCATCCATGCGAAGTCACTTGCAAAAGCTTCCCCCAATGGCAGCAAATTTGAGACGCAACGACGACGACAAACGACGACAGACGACGACAGACGACGACAAACGACGAGAGACGACGAGAGACGACGACAGACGACGACACGACGCAAGCCATGTAAACACAGCTCCAACCCCCAGACCCCAACAATAAACGGGAACCCTTCGCTACGCATTCGGGAAAAAGGTCAAAAACAAAACAAACACGATGGTTTTTGAAGGAAGATTCTCCTGCCTGCCTGAAGGAACAAAAAGCCTTGGGAAATGCCTCACTTATTTATTTGGAAACAAAAGTGGGGTAGGAAATGACGGAGGTTGAAACAAATGTCTATTCTTGTTCTTACTGTACGTACTTTTCTTGTTGCAGCATTGCGGCAACATGTCCAAGTGGATGTACTCTTTGATCAGGGTGTTAACTGTCTCAAAGGCTTCATCAAACTCGGCCTTTTCCATGTACTCTGTGTAGTGATGCACGTGAGCTTTCCGGCAGTACAACCGCGAGAAGTCTTTGACCTGGACGTGTGTCCCCTTTTACGTCAGTGAGAAAAACTAATTGCTATGATGCTATGCTTAGCTGATGCAAGTGCAACTGGGCGACAGTATGGCTGAACATCTGGTGCGCCGCACAGGTGTTCCCCAAATGCAACACTGAGTATGGGAGCCCACGTGGTGGCACTTTGCAAAGGCCAATCCTCATGCAAGGACAAGGAGAAAATGATGGTGAAAAATTCTAGATGGGGTCGTGGAGAAAATGATGAGAAAATGACAAGTTGAAGCAACATCGCTACCTGTTAGGGGAGGGGGGACCTATAAAAATGTAAGTTACATTTTTCCTGGGGGGGTCCTGGTTTGATACCTCAAATATGTAAGCTTACATTTTTTAAAATAGACGTAGAAAATGTAAGCTTACATTTTCCCCCATATACGTAGAAAATGTAAGCTTACATTTTCTACGTCTGCAATGCCAGATGCAATCAAATCTTGTTTGGTGTAATCTTGTTATATATATATATTGTTTATATATCATCACTTCTGCCATCTTCTGCCTAGAAGCCAACAGATCTCAGCAACTTCAAGAGTGCAGCAAGCTCCAAATTGCAACAAACACGCTTTCCTTCCAGGATTCACAGAGTATCATTGAGGATTAGTATGTTAGTATGTTACATTTTGAGGGGTGCCCTGTAAAATGTAAGCTACCATGTGCCTAGGTGATATGTTACCTTTTCAGAGGTACCCTGTAAAATGTAAGTTGCCACGTGCCCACATAGTAAGTTACATTTTTACCACCCCCTCCGCCCCCATCCTGCACTCTGAACACTCACCGGTGATTCCCTGGGGGATCCCTGGGGAATCCTGGGGAATCCCTGCCAGCCCACATCCCCCCCCCCAAAAAAAAAAAAAGCTTAAACTTCCACCGGTAAACCCCCAGAAAGCCCCCCGGTCAAAAAGAAGGGGGGGGGTCCAACATACATTTATGGCCCCCCAAAAAAAATGTAACTTACATTTTTTTACGTCCCCCCTCAAAAACCTGAGGCAAGGGGGTGGCGATGAAGCAACATCAAAAGTGTGGAAAATGGGGTTGTCGATGCAGTGAGCTGCCACGGGTCTTAAATGCATCCTCATTGAAGGGCAAAAGCTTCAGTTTCTTGCGCAGCTGGGAGATATTGCCTGTACATCACCATCCGTTAGAGCAAACCGAACGGCTGATTTCTGTTTAAAAATGCTACTAGCGTTTTTCAGCTTGGCTCTTGGTGCTGAGACTCTGACGGTTGACATCACCAATGGAAGCTGAACCACGAACCAGAAAGGCCAGAGCCATGTAGGTGCTCCCCCTGAGCAGTTCGCCGTTTGGTCCGTTTCGGCGGACTTGATTCTGAAGCAATTGCTAGTAACAATGACTGATCCTGGCTCATAATGCCATGCCTGGGATCAACGTTCATCAGCTGATGGTTCTGAGTGATGACTTCTGAGAACATTTGGTGGAAGCCTGGCAAAATCAGCGCTTCTGTCCTGTAACGCTGCAACTTATAATTGCTTAGCTTTGCTTTCATCATTGGCAGCCTCTGGAAACGAGTCGAGGATCCCGGCCAAAGTATAACGGGCTCATTGAAGCCAGAAGGAAGTGCATACGTGGAAATGGCACCAGGTTCATGGTGATCTCATTCAGGTCCAAATTCAGGGAACCCTCAAATCTCATTGAACTTGTTAGGTTGTTCAGAAGATGCGCCACCAGAGAATTCATCCGATCAAAAGGTCGCTCTTGACCCAATGGAGGTGGCCGCCTCATGGGTACAAGGGCGGCCGATCATGTCTTCAAAAACAAGCTTTGATCTGCTTCGCTCAACCTGGGGATGGGCATTGCCAAGTTGCGCTGTCCCTGCTGAACGTGGGGCCTGGACCTCGGGCTCCACCACCTGCCTGACACATGATGGCAAAGTGGATGCCAAGCCTCTTATGCAAGCAAGGGCTTGCAGTAAGGGGCTCACTTTCAGAAGCATTGTGATTGACTCATATTGGCAATATTGGCAACAGTAGGGGCCTTCAAGACCTAAGTCTCTGGCTTGGTAGGTCTTACCTTCTTCCCCTGTTCTTATCTCTGCCGCAAAACAATCTCATGGCTTGCTGTTTGGCCGTCCTCTTCCTTGGCGGTGCCGAATGTGCTGTCCTTCGCGCTGGTCCAGATGGAGCGGCTCTGGGCGCACCTTCAGCAGTAAACTCCGGCCAGAGGCTCTAAATCAAAAGAGCCAAACACTTATATAGACCCACGAATACGAAAAGGTCAAAAAAGATCAAAACAACATAACATGGAAAAGTGCAATGCATTCTTGCTCTACTCCGGGTCCCCGGGTGCTGATCCTGCCATGTGTGATTGGCTGACTGAGGTGCAATTTGAACCCTTCCCTGCATGCGTTGGAAGAGCTATTGCCCGAGTGCTTCGTACGAAGTTGCGTGGTTCAATACTTGCCTCTCATAACAGTGGGATATTGGAAAGCAAGAAGCTCAAAGAAATCGTAATATTAGCCTCTACTTTTCCGCCATATTCCTTTCCCTTCTTCTGCTGCTGCATGGTCAGGCACGCAGGCAAACAAGCTCCCATTTGCAAATGCTGTTTTCAGAGGATGATGACCCTCTTGGCGCTGAGGTTTGCATCCAACATTTGCTCCAAAAAATGACGCTTTCACGAGGCTATGTGGTTTGAAAACTGAGTATGCTTTGATTCCACATCGCTGTGCGCGTTTGTTGTGCGTTCCAGCTACTGTACTAGCAATGGATGTCAAATAATTCTGTTCTGCTCTCCAGGCACGTCGTGGCTGGCGTTCATCTTGGGGAAGGTCAATGAGAGTGGCCTGAGCTTGCTCCCCAGCATCTCGTGTAGAGATTTGGTTGCATATGCTTGCCAAGGAATCGTTGGAGGTTGGCAGGACACAGTGTGCAGATTGAATCAAAGGACGCATGGCAAGGATGGTGTTGTAAGGCGATGTCACCACATCATCTTCTCGTGAAGGGCAAACACAGGAGACAAAGCGGAAGACTTCTGGCAGCATGTCCTCTAGGCTTTCCAGGATGTAAGTTCCAAGGCCACTACCAGTTCCACCTCCCAAAGAGTGCAGAAGGAAGAAGCATTGCAATGAGTCGCACTGCTCTGCAGACTTCCGAACTTTTTCCTGAATACTTTCTCGATAAGTAGGGCCGTACACATGATATCCATGTGCCCAGTTGTTCCCAGATCCAGAGACATCAGTAATACGCTGGCGGGCGTCAAATAAATCGGCCAATGGCCCTGTGAGCAAAGAATTCACAACACCCTCTTCCATATCCACCAGCAAGCATCTAGCCTTGAGGGTGCGGATCTGGTCACCCACTGGCAAGCCCGGCAAGTTTGCATGTCTTGTATCCACATTTCGGAAGAATGATGATAGGGCGGCATCATATATCGCAGTCTTGGAGACAAAGGCATGCTCTCGCAAGACCTGAGCTTTGACACGCACCAACACCCAACGCGACAACACAGGTTCCACCCTTGGTGCATCGAACCTTTTGCGGCGAATGCCTCCCGAAGCAAACCACAAAGAACTTCCCATGTTCAGAAGGGGTGCAAGGTCCCAAAATCTGCACCCGATCTGATTCCCGCATTGACCGACCTGTGCCAGGAAGGTTGGATTAACAGCTTCTGCCTTGTGGGTGTTCTATGAAAGGGCTCATAAGTAAGTGCAACTGATTGGCCCCTAGCTGCCCTAGCTCTGAGATGTTCAGTGAGATTCAGTGAGCCTGGATGGTGATGACCTCTCGTGGCATCTCGCAGTCATGGCTGGCACGCGCCCATGGGATTCCGTCTGAAACCGAATCTTCTGAACAAGAAAATCATGCTGCAGTCAGATCACTGCAGGAAGATCAGGAAGTTTAAAGCAACATGCTTTTGGGTTGCCTGTAACGGTGGTATACATGTAGGTAAAAAATACGATTGTGGCTGACACTTGCAGTAGCTGCGGAATCTCAGGATCAAAAGGCCGAGAAAGGTTGATTGGTCTATCATCGGTTTGCTACGAAAGAGAATCATCAAAGCACGCGCAACTTCTCCATGGTCCACGCGGTCCTTTTCATCTTGGCTGTTGCAGCAGCTCTGCAGCATGTTCCGTGTACATTCCCAGCGTGAAACCATAGCTACCTACAGATATTTCTCCGGAATAGCTCTGAAGCCTCAAGCCCGTAAGCCAAATGGCACGTTTCAAGACAATCAATCCATCAAAGGGACTAAAAGAACCCTGAAATTATCTTATCAAAAGAAACTAGCAGTTTCATGTCATGGCTGCAAATCGTTGCAAGCCAGTGCGTTCAACATTCTGGAGCTTCCGAGGGCAGAACTCTTCAACATATCCCATCTCCATCATTTCGTCCCATGCTCTCCGGACGTCGTCCAGAAATGTGTCATCCAAAAGCACACGGTTGTTCCTAGTCAATGGTCTAAATCGAAAGTATCTTTGAACTTATCTTGATCGATGCACAAGGGCAAAATGGGGCCTCTCATCGAGTATCGGCCGAGACGCTTCAGATTAGCCAAGGCAGCAAAGTTCTTCAAGTCTCTAATTGCCACATCATAGCTATGGCCTCCGTCAATAAAAATCAGCTCGCACCTGGAGACAGCAATCAACAAAGTCCACCAAGCACCAGAATAACAGAACGCACGTATCCTGCAGTTTCTTTCCTCTAGGGCTATGGCTTTACATCTGGGTTGTGTCGATGGAACTCAGGAACTGTCGCCAAAGAGTCGCCCCAGGTCATATTCAAGCGCCTCAGGAACTGTCGCCAAAAGTTTGTTGGACATATGTAGATTCCATATGATATGTGCAATTACATTTACATATACATATATGCAATTCTTCTGTATCATATAGCTATGTTAATATAAATATAGCATAATAGCATATATGTATATGCGTGTGATGCAAGTAGGCATTCCCTCGCCCCCCCAAAAAAAAACAATACAGTAGTTCAAAACTTGCGATCATTCCATCAAGCATCCCAGGAAATCGGTTTGATAGCCACATCGCCGCTGGTCGCGCATACGGGTGATCCCCCAAATCAAAGGAGTAGACCTGTGAGTGAGTTGGGACACAAAGCATGCGTCATGCAAACTTGGTGGAGCAAATGGCAATGTTGCAAGGTTCACTCTATCGATACAAATTGCCTTACCCATCACTTGGGCTCAAATTTAAGGTGTTCGCCTGCGCTTTGGTCCGCAGCAACCATCTTAGGGCGCTGTGACCAGCATTGAAGCCAACCTCGCAAACCGTCTTGATCGAAGCATCGGATGCGATCCTTGGTGCGCAAAATGCTCGGCTTCTAAACGCGCTTTGCGGCACTTAGCTTTCCTTCCATTCAGACGTGTTGCGCGTTCATCACTTCCACAGCCTCCGGCACCATGTTGCTGTGACCTGGACACCCACAAGTCAGTCGTGCCACTTTCATGATGCTCCAGCCTTCAATCTCCCGATCAGGATGCCATATGTGCGAAATAGAGCCCTTTGGCAGCGGCTTGTCTGTGAGTCGCATGGACCACGCGACCACGGAGTCTAAACCTGGACAAACTGGCCGGACCCACCACAACAACAGCTGGAGTTGTGGCATGCCCTACTTACAGTAGAAGCATAGCACTGCTAGGTCTCAAACTTTCTGTTAGGACCTCTTCCTCTTCGTTCTTTTCGCTGGACTTCTTTGGTCTCGATGCCAGTGGTGGTGAGAGGCAGAAACCACCTCAAGGCCGCAAGGCCGAGTGGGTGGCAGGATGGGTCAGATTGCAAAAACGCTCGAACCCATTCATCACAGTCCCGACCAAGAAACGCAGGCTCCTTGTTGCTGCAAATAGCCTCTCCGCCATCTCCTCTCATGTAGAGGGAACTCAACAACACCGAATCAGTGAATCAGCATGCCTCACCTCAATATGAACGGAAACCTTCGGTGTGTGTGTGTGTGTGGTCTTACTTTCAAGTCAATCAACCTCCACGAGGTGCCCTGCCGAAATGGGGTCAAACAAGTTGGCCTCGCCAAACTGCGTGGAAGATAGGCGGCCAACCAGCTGGCAGTCAAGGCGCCAGCGCAAAGGTGTGCAGGTCCTATCGATAGATGTCAATCAGAGGTATTCAACTGCCTATATATTATACTTCTCTATGTTCAGAACCTTTGAGTCTGCGGAATCGGTCCTTAAAGCTTTCTTTGCTCCAGCACCGGAGATTAAGTAGGCTGGGCCCAATCGATACCTCTCCAGTGACTCCAGAAACTCCAGTGGCTTGACATCCGGGTAGAAGCGACATGCTATCAAGTTGCCACGGATAGAGACGCCGGAGCCCAGGTCCTATCTCATGATCCCGGAACTGTGCTAACTCCTTGGTGGATCAATGGGCTGATGATGAAGATGTGGCTTTTCAATTTGTTTTTCAGACAACATTCTGGAAGCTAGTGCTGCAAGGTGTCGGGGTCAGGAGTGCCCAACAAATCCTCCCCACCTAAACAAACCAAGTCCCAATCTTTGGGAACAGCCTCCAGGCGATCTTCCAACCTGAAATGTCTTGGGATGGAGAGCTAGGGAATCGGGAATGTTGCCTGAGCCAAGGCAGCTGGGTGCGTGACAACTCAGTTGTGACTCCAAATGGGAACTTGCAATTGTCTTCCACCACGAGGAATGCATCGGATGCCGCACCGGCTTCCTTCTCTATATCAGCCCAAACCTATCCCAATCACAGGAATCTACCACCTACCAGGCCACCAGTATTGCCTTTTGAATTTTGATGGACGTTGATGTTGCTCCTTCCTCACGCCTGCAGCTGCGACAACGCCTGTCCCAAGCTGCCACGTGTAAGATCTAGCTCTTGAAGCCATCCTGCCAACACATGCTGAAATTTATGGACCATCGGCACCAGAACTGAATAGAACTGAGGTTTTGCGGCGTCTGCTTTGATCGGCCTCCGTGTTTCTTGCCCGGAGCTTCTCGACCTCTCCGGACATGCCGCCAGCGCTTTGTTTCTCGCCACTTCTGTCGCCACTCATCCTTCACCAGCACACCTGATAGGTCACACGACTCTATAAACAAAGCCTCTCAATTGTCAATGCCATGAAACAGAACGTCAAGAGTCAAGACATTGGCAGCATGAAACAGTCTAGCAATGTTGGCACTTTCCCGCCCCAGCGGCGGGGCAGTGCTGCGGGTTCCACGACACCAGAGTCCACGATGTCCAGCACATCATCCTTCACAGCTTGAGAAAATGAAATCAGCCAAAGGCCTCTTTGTGCCAAGTTATTTCGAAACACTTGCAGCCTGCAAATCAAAGCCATCCACTGCAGCCCACTGCCGCACTGGGACCTCAAACAAAGCAATTGATGGTGTTGCCAAATCTCCAAGCATCATTACTCCAACACCTGAACTGGTGCGTTTGTGTGCGCGCGCGCTGTTTTACCTTTCATGTGTCAATTGATTAAACATTTAACCACCTATCAAATCCTATGAACCAGCTTCTTTCGAGAGGCTCCTGGGCTGAGCTTCTCCAAGGTTTTCTGGAGGTACTTCACTGGGCGATGGCGACGGATCAAATACACAGATCTCACATTCTGAAGCCTGAAGGCTTCGCTGCACCACAGAGGGCCGAAAGCACTAGCAGTGAAGGTGGCGCTCAAGGCTCAAGACTAAGGAGCAGTGAAGTTGTCCCTGAAGAAAAGCCCCGTAACAAGGTCGTCATAGTCCAAACAAAGGCCAATGTAGCCCAGGAAGACCTGACTGTGCAGGATTTGGCACGGCCCAGCGTTTGGGGCTGGGGAGACGTTTGAAAACGTAATAGTAGCAGGCCTCCCGAGCCTCAAGGGCCGCGTGCTCCACACCATGGGATCATGTTAATTCTAGTAGCATCCTTGTTCCTAGTAGTACGGCCAGGAGCGTCCTTGCTCCTAGTAGCGATGCCCTTTGCTCCTAGTAGCGTCCTCTACCCATATGTGTAGTATTGTATAGTCATCCAATTTCTCGCATCCCACGCGTGTTGATTTGTGAGGTTTGACACCTTGATTCAGCTGGCCCCCAAAAGCGGCCCTGCTAAATGTTGATGTTGCTTAATTTTGCATACAACAGGTTTAGAGGGTACTCATCAGAAGTGCGCCGCTACTTCAAAGGTGGTGATTGGTTGACTTTGGTGGCACAGTCTTGTGGGGCATTCTGGTGGGGCACTCTTGCGGCACAGCCTTGTGGAACACTATTCTGTCATGCTGCTGACGAGGCAAGCTTGTGCTGGAGCCACCGCAACTGTGTAACGTCGGAGAGCACGTGCAATGCTTTTTGCTTTTGACATGGTGTTCATCAATCAAGGGCTTGCAATGGCTTAACAAGGCTTACCTGCACACTCGTTGAAACCCTAGCTTGCAGAATGCCACTGCACAAGCTACATCAAACTCCTGGCACTTCGAATGCTTTCGGCCTCACGGGTAGGTCGAATTCCGAGCCCTCCACTGACATCCACCAAGCTGGCGGATCAGTTCAGCCACGCCATGGCGTGGACCCATCATCAGCGCCGTGCCAGTGTCCATGGCCACCTCTTCTCTGCTTTCCATCTCAAGGCCAGGAGCTACTAGTAGCGTCCTTGCTCCTCGTAGCGATGCCTTTGCTCCTAGTAGCGATGCCCTTTGCTCCTAGTAGCGTCCTTGCTAGGAATGATTCCATAAGCAAATGTTCTTACACCCAACGGTGAGGCATGGCACGGGAACAACATTGGCATGCCTTGGCATGCCTTGGTCCACACAGACTGACTGGATCCTACGCTGCTGCCTGACAACGGGGCTTAGATCGGAAGTCATAGCACAAATGAAGAGGCTTGTCTCTAACCTGAGCACCAAGGATTGCAAACAATCTCACCCGCAAAACACTTGTTCGGAAGAGTCCTGCAAGCCCCATAACCAGTTTCTCAGATCCTTGCATAGATATCCCGCATTGTCACCTTGCACAACACATACAGTGCCTCTGATGTCTTCTACTTGTGATGTACTGTCATCCAATCGATGTCATGTTCCCTCAGTTCTCGGCCAACCAGTAGCCCTTTTCTTCTGCTTCGTTTTTTGGCACCTGAGAAGCACCCACCAGGAGACAGGAGGAAGGAACACATGAGGCCGTCGCCGGTGTCGCCAGTGCGACATGATATGTGAGTGGTCGGCTGACTGAGGAAAGGACGGGCAACCATGTGACCGCCCCCTCCAAACGCTCCCGCCGATACCTGACACATCAGGATCATTAGGTGCACCCACATTGCCAATAGAGTCGGCTCAAGCATGGAGAAAATCAAATCAGCGCCAACTGACAGGTTCAAAAATGATCCAATCAAAACAAATGAGGACTCAACCCCCCAAAAGTAATCTCGCTGTCTTCATCAGCCTTGGGCAAGTTGGAACTACGACAGCTTCATGATCCCAAGAGCGTTCGCGCTGAGCTTCCAGCATCCAAACTTCTGAGGAAGAATGCGAACGTGGGGTTTCCAATCACTTCATTGGCAGCCTGACATTGTGTCAAATCTGAACCCAGTCTTAGAGTGCTTCGCGTGCCAAAACTGAGGGACACACCACCAAGCGGTTCACAAAGTTGAATGAAGGGCCAGCCTTCAGTCTGCAATGATTTGATTTCCGCTGGACACAAAAGAAATAAACAACAAAGCACCCTACCGGTCCAGTCACACAAACTGGGAGCGTACGGACAAACCGCCCAACCCGAGGCCAAAAATTCCGTCGAAGGGAAGCTCGGTGAAGGGAAAGCGAGACTCCTCGAGCAACAGGTGGTCAATTAGTTTGCTGCTTGATGTGGAATAGATATTATGGCAACGAGCCTGAGTCACGCCTAAGAAGTCCACTTTCAAACCTGAGTCGTCCCTTGAGCACTTGTACCAATGGGTGTAAAAGTCTGAGTTTGTCACAAGCCGGATTTGATGCAGCTCCAGAACCTGGCAGAAACCAAACCAACACTGTTAACCAAAACAGGACATGCGGGAAATCAAATGCTGTTGCTATTGTATGCATTCCCTTCTGTTCTATGCAGCGGTGTTAAGACTCAAAGGGATACAAACAGTGATTATGCTCGGGCAATATAATATAGTATGCAAAAGCCTCTGCTCAATGGCCTTGTTTCAGGCACAGCATGTCCTGGATGTACTCCCCTGTTAGCTTTCCAGTACCTTCAGCAGCAGGGCTTCCCGCGCAATGCACATGCTTGTCTAGCAAGATCATATCATCTGGCTTGCTGAGGGCATGGTTGTGCTTCAATGACTTAGACCTGCACCATAGGTAATGGTGGTAGTATCGCGGTCCTGCAGCTGTGAGGTTGTGGCACCCAATCTAGCATTGCTGATTGGCTGATACGCATCTGTCCCTAAAACGATCCACCCTGGTCGTCTTGATCCAACTCATCCACCAAGCACATCAAAAAACTATATATGCAAAATGGCAAGTGCATGCAAGTGCGCATCAGGTGCTGGCGAACCCTACAAACTGGCATGAGGGCGCATGACTTTAGCTGCACCCAGTTCTGGTTGCTACAAATCGATTTCGCCCAGCACTCTTGCCGGTCCAGCCCCGGCTGCAAAGGTGTACCATCCTCGAGGGCCAGCTGCAGTGAGGAACCTCGGCTGAGCTTAACAACCATGCCATGTGCAGGCAATGCAGTTGCACCAGTGGCTACGACCTCCAGAGCCACAACCCACGAAGCTTTCAACATGGTTCGCTGCATTTTTCATGTGGATGTCGTCAGAACATTTTGCCCCAAACTGAAGACAAGGAACAATCGATTAAGCAGTCGGTCACTAGAAGCGTGCACTCCAACCAACCCTTAAACATCCTTAAACCTTACGCATCCGTTTGACCAACTGCTTCTGCCCAGCCCACTTTGAAGCTGAGCTAGTGTCCTACAGTAAACTTGGAAACTAGACCGGCTTTGCCATGACATGTTTGATGTGGGTAAAGCTTATGGCCTCTGCAAACCACAGAGTCTGATTTCGATTGATCAGGGCGTTCAGCGCTCACCAGTCATCACGATCAGGTTTTGCTCGTGTCCTCGGACAAAACAATTGTGGCACAGCTTTTCTCAGAACAAGATCGTGGCCTTTAGACAATTGAGCAACACCGGCATTCGAGATCTGAGTGGACAGGGAAGTAAATAGTGGATGCGAGATGCAGGCTTTTCATTGCATATTGGTTACCGGGCTGGTAGTTAGTTAGGTTGCACACACAGGTCAACAGTCAACACCCCACACATTGTGGACAATTCAATGGCAATGCGACCAGGCTGCTTCTGCTCGGCTTCCTTACGGCGCCGCTCGTACAGCTTACGTTTCTCAATGAAAGGATCTCCAAATGGCCAATACCTCACGCAAATAACTTGAAACTCCAAGCCGTGAAAAGCACAGCTGATGAATCAGCAGTTGCATTCTGAGGTCAGCGCTTGAACCGCTCGGGAAAATATTTCCTCGATTTGATGCGGCAATTGTGGCCACCATATCATGATTATCATGCAAATTCAAGGGAAATGGAGCATGTAACACCAGCAAACTTGCTGCTGCCAAGAATCCGCTCGACTTCTTCCCTCAAAGATTTTTCTTCTCGATCTGACTCGCTGTCCTCTTTGTCCTCTTTCTTCTTGAGATCTGCCCCATCATTGTACGCATGCCGCTTTGCTGGATCTGATAGTGTCTCGTATGCATGAGCAATTCTCTGGAAATCACGGGTCGATCCACCTTGCTTGTCGGGATGATATTTTAGGCTCATCAAGCGGTAGGCCCGCTTCAGCTGCTGATCTGTGGCATCGGATGACACACCAAGAATGGAATACAGGTCTGATCCTGAAAGCTCTGGTGCCCCATCACAACTTTCCCTCTGCTGCCCTTCATGTCCTCGTTTGTCGGTCTTCTTCCAACTAGGGCGATATCGATCATCTTTCTCCATGCGTTTGGCTTGGGCATGTGCTCGGACCAGCCAATCGCACAGGTTGGGCCACTTGCGATCGACCCGAAGCAAGGTCTCTAGGCTCTTGATGGCCTCCTTGGGCCTCCCGGCCTCCAGAAGGCACGCAGCCCGTCGAAAGAGTGCTCTAGCATATCTTGGAAAAAGATTCAAGGCCAAGTCGCAATCATCGATGGCTTGTCGGAACTCTCGGGCACGGCGATGACAGGCAGCACGCGCAGCATGGAGCGTAGCCCTGCCCCACTTGTCGTCTGTGGGGCAGCTCAACAATGCATCTCCATAGCGCAACGCAGCCGTAGCAAAGTCGCCATAGGCATAAGCATCTTCAGCAGCAAGCTTGCACCTTTCAACTGCGGCAAAGGATTGCACACGAATTGATGCTCCTTGGTGCCCCCAGGTGTGATCTGTGCCCGATGTAGCATCCAAAGCTGTGGACAGGTATTTCAAGCCCTGCTCACGGCGGCCGACACGCAACAAGCTACGTCCTGCATAAAGAAGGCTGGCTGCATTACCTGGATGTCGTCTAACACATGCCTCAGCTTCCAACACCGCTTGCGGCTCCTGCCGGCACCTCAGGAGTGCACGTACCAATGTGAGGCGCAAACGCAGTGCATCTGGCCCTTCACATGGTAGCTTTGCCAAGGTGGACGATGGCAAGGGCCACTGAAGGCCGACCTCTCCAGCCTGGCGCCGGTGCTCATCATTTAGAAGCTGCCGCAGGGCCGACAGACCGGACTCAGCAATCTTGATAGACTGGCAATTGGCCGCGTTCATTGCGGCTTCAGCTGCCCTTCGGCCCAAAAGCCCTTGCTCCACTAAGGCGTGCGGAGGATAAACTTCTCCATTTGGAGTTTTGGATTTGATGGCACTAGCAAGCTTGTCAAAAGCCTGCTGGGACTCAAGTAATGCATCGGGAGCCTCTGGAAGATCTCTCTGTGCAGACCTCAAGGCAGCCGCAAGAACTTCAGTGGGGTCTAGTGAGTTTAGCAGTGAATTGTCCTCCTGCTTGCCCAGGCCCAGTAAGGGCGTGCTCAAACCTAGCACCCTGGCACTGTACTCAATCTCTGTTTCCTCGGCACCTCTTAAAGGGCGAAGATTGGGCAGCTTTACGGCGAGTTTGCTGCGACACTCCGACAACTGCACCACGCATCTGCCATCACCGCCTTCAGCTGGCAGCTTTAGAACAGTACACGGTTTGCCATTTTTGCTTGAATCAAAGAGGCCTTGCAAAATGCAAGGGTACCCCACAGCAAGCAAGTCCTTATTGTGGCTGCGACTTCCCGCTCCTTCTTCCTGATCTTCAAAGGCTCTGATGTCGACTTTCGCCTCTGTTTCTCCCTCCTGCCAAGGGGTTAACCTGAACACAATTCTGCACTACACAAACAAACAGCAAATATACAAATTGTTCAAAGACCTTCGCAGTTTGTGCTGTGGTGGCAGCATGTAGTGGCTAATATGATGCTAGTAGACAGGAATCCTTCCAATAAATTATATAGTGAAACGTTTTGGCCCATCTCCTCGGGTGCTTGGAAATCCGGTGCTTGCAATCGCGGCTCAAAAGGTCGATCAAACTTGTCTGCCAATGGATCTTCAGGCGGAGCAGTGGCACTGCCCATGTCCGAATCACGAACTGCCTCCAGCAATGGCTTACCATCACGGTGCACGCAAACCCATTGAGCATCATCGTCATCAGCTTCATCGGCTCTGGCCAAACGAAGCCACGCTCCATCCCTCTCCACACCGCACACATATTGGCCCAAATCCAGCTGACCGCAAGACTTGGCAAAGGGTCTTGGGTGAGCTCGCACTACTGCACCTGCACAACCAGTGGTGACAGCCCATCTGAGCATCCTACCCCAAAACAAAGAATCACACAAATATGTAGTAGATATATTATACATATTATATACCTAAAGAGGACCAAGAAACATCAGACAGCATCAAGAAACATCAAGGACCACATCCCAACCCCGTCGCAGCATGTCCTAGCCTGCTGGAGCGACCACACGGTAAATCCAGCAGCGAGGCTGTTGGCAGCAGAATTCGAGGCTGTGAGGCCCAGGTTTCGGCAGGTTTGCTCCAGCCCTTGCAGCTGCCACCGTTCTCTCATAGCGACGATAGCTGTAGCGCAAGTCCCGAATCACGCTGTGATCCAATACTGCAATCACCTCTTCGGCAGCTCCCACATAATAAACCAGCACAAATAGAGATATAAAACAGCCAAGACATGCCAAGACTATATAACAAGATGGACAATAGCACGAGCTCTGAACTCAAACGACGGAACAGTGTGAACCGTATGCAGTATGCACGACATACCAACCAAAACTCAATGCGGTGTTTAAATGAAATGTGAAGCGTTAGAACTATGGCCTGCCACGGCAGTTCATCCTCGTCATCCTTAACTGGCTCCATGATGGCATTCATCTCAGAGGCAGGAGGCTCTTGAGAGATTCTTGGCTTATCATCATCCTCATTCTCGTCCGCCGTCTCAAAATCTGCATCATCCTCCAACCCAAGAGCTCTGAAAGGCTGAATGTGCCCAAAAAAAGGAGGGAGAGAGAGAGAGGGAGAGCGAGAGAGCGGGGGGGAGAGAGGAAGAGAGGGAGAGAGGAAGAGAGGGAGAGAGGGAGAGAGGGAGAGAGGGAGAGAGGGAGAGAAGAGGAAGAGGGAGAGGGAGAGTGGTGTCGATTGTAGATAGAGAAGAGCTCAACTCGCACAGGGCCAAACCATTTCCCGTCCGAAGTGCACAAAAACCTAACTTACAATCAAAGCCTCATGAAGAAGCGACACTTCATATGGTTTTTGAGTCGGGGAAGTGATAAGTCTGGAGCAGGACCGTACAAGTTTCCCAAGTCCTCCAGGCACTCATGCCAATATAGTTGAGGAAGACTCTTCACCTCACCCAGCTTCTGATGACTGACGTGTTCCCTGTGAAGGTGCCACCAACGCAAACCAGCACCAGGAATGATCGTGTCTCCCTTGTGGGCGAAGCGTTCTCGCCCCAAGGGATCGACAAATGTCCACTCGAATCTTTCAGAGTAGTCATCTGAGTCTGATGAAGAATCTGAGAGCACCCCAGCTGGAAGCCTCGAACGGTCTAGTCGCCGCTTGAGCCTTGACTTCTTGGGTTCTGGAGGGGCCTTCATCAAAGCCATGATCCAGCCACTGCTGTCATTGCGATAGGCAATCTGAGTTTTCCGTCTCAAACCCAGCCCTTCTGCACGTGCGGCTGCGTAGATGCCGTTCATATCATCCACGCTTGAACCCGCAATGAAGAAGCCTTTGGCGGGTTCCCGAACTGTCACATAACCCCTACTTCGAGGCCGAGATCCGCCCCCAGAATACGGCGCCAAGGCATCTTGTCGTGCCAGGTGCATGGCTGCAAATCTCGCACAGTTTGCGGCAAAATGATGTGTAGAATTTGAAACTCCCACCTCACGTGTTTGTTGCGCGTTTGTCACTACACATGCGGGTGTTTCACTCCTTTCACTTGGGCCGAAATACTACCATCTGCAGGTCCAGCATGGCAAGACCAAGGACGCAGACCCGCCCATCCTCTGCAATATGCACTTCTCGCAGCAGCCTGTTGATGCAAAACATGCCCTTGCCCTGACAGAATCGCAGCACCTCAAGCCTGAGGCCTAGCTTCCCAAAGAGTGTTTGCCCTCTCAGCGATCAACGTGAAGCCCCACTAGAAAAACGGTGATGGTCCTCACAAGCCTGCGTCAAAAATCAACTGGTGGTCCAACCTGCCTGTCGCTCTTGTTGTTTTGTGCTGGGTTCGGTTGACTGGTCACTACACCAGCCTCGTCTGAGCACTTCAGTGTTGGAAGTACCTTTAATCATGCCAGGATCCCAATTCAAACGCCACTGGGCACAAGGCGCACAATGTTTCCAGACCCGGTGTCAAAAACGACGTCAAAGTCCTGCGGCATGGTTGGAACACTCAGCCCACTCACTGAGTTTGAAAGAACAATATGCCTGACAAGCAGTTCAAAATACAGTACAGTCAGTACAGTGTATATACAGATATATATATACACATGAAAGTACAGTTGCACCAGGACCACCTGCAAAACATGAGGTCTCAAGTTGCCCGGCCTGGGGTGGAGTGCCCATGGATACAGAACCATAATACTCGCTGACTCGTAGCCTTGATGGTTCAAACAAAATCCTGAAGGAATACATATATTATATACGGTATATAGATCACCATGACACGGACCCAAGGCTCGAGCGGCAAGTGGTTCTTGCCATCTTGCATGGGCCTTTCGTACAATGAGACGTACCTGGAAGTGGTGAAGTAGGCATGCTAGATGTATGGAAAACGTCAACACCATCACCGCTGAGACTTGGTTTGCAAAGAATCGAGGGCACTCCTGCAGTGGAACAGTCAAAGTGCCCTGTGGCAAAAACCGGCATTGATTTGAATCAACCAACATCAATCAACCATACCACGCATACTATGAGCAGGTTCATTTTCAAAGTGTTTCAACAGCAAACCTGCACAAGTGCTTGTGCAAAGAGTTTTGGCGACACAAACCTCAGTTTTCTTGGACAAGCAAAGCAGCAACGACATCCAAGAATGAAAAACTGTCGGTGACTTGGAAGCTCACACCAGCGCGCTCAGCGTTGACAGTGGGACCCTGCTCAATATTTCAACACACTGACACAATAACAGCTCACAAAAACCATTCATCCAGCCTTCCTATTCGTTTGCTTTGGGCCGGGTTCTCGGCCATCTCCTGAACCCAACCACAACCAAAACATCATCAGTCCAGCATGCAACTGGCAAAATAAAACACAATCCTGCCTACGGCGCGCGGAAATGCGCTCTAGAGAAAAGGCACATCACATTGGATAAAATTGCCTGGGGGCTGCGCGCTCCCAAAATTTTGAGCCAATGTCTTACATTGTCATGGGCATTGGTGACGAGGTCTCGGTGCTCCAGACTTAGCAGGATTGACAGCTGCTTGTTGGAGTGAAGGGCCAAAAAATAGGTCAAATTACTCTTCTGTACATGTCCTAATTTGTATGCCGTGTTTTATCCAGCCATACCCTGCGCCGACCGGTTCGGACATGCTTGGTGCAAGACGTTGGCACATCCAAGAAACGGGTTGAAAAGGATCTTCTTAATGCAGCTGCATACACTCGTTCATGATGTTTCATCATCATTGCGCTCATCAAAGTTGTGATAACGATGAGTTGCTCAAGCACATTCAAGTACAATTGCTTTAATGTGATGCAGCCAGGTTTGTCTAGGTTTCCCGGCTCGCTTGTATGCCGTGCGCCTTCGCCAAATTATCTGGACAAAAGGCTGGGTCCCACACGGCGCATGGAGCAAAAACCGATCTAAACACCGAGAACGGTGGCCAATCTGAACATGACATGTCAGATGTTGATCGACGAGCGTTCATGGCCACATGGGTTTCAAGGGCCCCTTGACAAGCCATTGACATGGCATAGGGCTGCCTCGGTGCCACTTGCTCAAAATTGTCCTTGGTGGTGCGGTTTCCTGGTCTTTGACCTTGTCCTGGTGTATTTCTTCACGGTCCTCCCTGGGTTAACCACGTTGAGGCGTTGAGGTTCTGAAGGGTGCATCAACATCATGACCGTCAAAACAACGATGGCCGACAAGAACAACGGCACAGTCCCTCAATGGGACGGAAGCGGCGAAAAGTGGCATGGTGGGTACAGTCTGCGCCTCGCCACAAACGCCGCTACTGTGCACACAAACTGGTTGGAAAGCTCACAGCGCATGTCGTGGCCATGTCCTGGCCATTGGCACAATTTGACACCAATGATGGAACGCAAGATCTTTTGAGGAGATTGCCTCTCTCACCTCTAGTGAAGCAACCGCTGCCGAATACAGCTGCGATAGGTGCGCAATCTTTCAATTTCCGTCGACTACCTCATGAGACCCTCGGCTAGAGCGAGTTCGGTGAAGCCTTGGCTCAACTGCGAGAAGGGCAACTTTGCATCTCTCAAGGCATCCAAAGTGGTTCGCTCCTCTGAAGATGACTACGGCCAATCGAAAAGAGCTCTGGCTGGGTTTGGCGCCACGAAGTTTGGAGCCCAGGCCATCGTGAAGGTGATCTCAACCTGCTGGACAAAGTGGTGGCGATGATTGGGAACACCCAGATCAAGCAGCACCGGGCCAATCACGTTTCCGGAGTCGGCGCTCAATTAGGTTGCCTGCGCCTGGCTCACGGGTGTTTGGAGTGACTGTCAGTGAACCCTCTGGGCTGCGTTCTCAGAGGTTTCTACAAGGTGCTGGTCTATCACCTAAAGAGTAATGAAACATGTTGTTTACGACCCCAAACAAGATGGACTATGGCTCCATTAGCAATGCACTTCAAAGGCTCTGGGACGATCAACGCCTTGGACGACACCAAGCACATGCTCCTCCCCATCAATTGCAAGTTCATGAACAAGATGACGGCGACCGGGATGCCTCCTGTTGGGGCGAAAGCTGGTCCGATGATCGGTATAAAGGTGGGCACGCAGAACAGCCCACTGAGGACTCGAGTTGGGCTGATGCCAATGACGCTTTGCTGAGGTCGACGAAATTGTTCTTGACCCTGAAGCTGAGGCCAAACTTCACGAAACTCAACAAGCCGAACATGTTGCTGAGCTGATGGCAGCTGAGGCCACCCGCACCTGGGCTGAAGCAAAGCGTGCGACAGCAGCGTTGCACAAAGATCGCGGCTTTGGAACGATCAAAGCGACTAGGAGCCGCGGTGCCAAGGCGAGGACATCCGGCAGCATGCCGTCCGTGGCCAAGGCGGCTGGCAGAGAAAGGGCCTGCCACGGCAGCCTCAGCAAGGTGGAAGCTACCGCCCGCTGCTGAAAGCCCCCACCAACGTCGGTGCCACCCTGCCTGGGCTGCGACGCGCGCCGCCGGCGCGCACCGCCGGCGGGGCGCGCGGAGCTCGAAGGCGGGCAGTGTGCGGATATAGGCCAGGCACTCCGCCCCCCAACGGCGGCGCGGGCGCCAGGTGTTCCGGAGGAAAAGGTATTCTGTGGCCGAGTAGTGCCGGAAGTGGCCGGGCGCGAGCCTGAGCCTGGCGTTGACGGACTTGCCAACCCCCGCGCTCACGCCGAGCTTGGCGCCTTGGTGGTGGCGCAGGTGTTGGTGGGGCAGGCGGGCTGCGGCTGCGTCGGCGCGGCGAACGGCGCCGGGTGGGACTGGAGCTGGCGTTGCTGGCGCTGGCAGAGCCCGACCCACGGTCCGGCGTTGGCGCCAGGGGTGTTGGAGTCTCCGCTGGAGGCGCCGGAGGGTGGCGCCAAACCCACCCGTCCTCGGCAGGGGCCCGGGGAGCGGGTTCGAGGCGGCCGCCAAAGAAGGCCAAGTCGGCGCCGACACAGAGCAGGCAGGGGTCCATGCGGACGGCGCGGGCCGGCTACACGGAGGCACAAGGCGGGCACGGCAGAACGCTTGAGCCTTGAGCCAAAATGGTTTGAACCAAAATGGCATAAGGGTTGGACACGGACCTTTAAAGGCAGGACCAATCTTGCCCTGCCCATTTTTTCGTCGTCGACCCTTAGCGATCGTGAAGGCATTGTCGATTGCGGTGCAACGACATCCGCTGCGCCTGACATGGCGGGATCTGATCAAGGCCGGGTGCAGGCATGATGATCGACTTTGCCACCGGAATGGCCATCTCCACCAAAATGACCATCAACACAACTGAGGTGAACCCAAATCATCCAAATCCGTATCCACTATTATCCACTCAGGAAAAACCACATTCATCTTCCTCGACAAATTACATCAACAGCTATCACATCTACGAGCCCTACACTTAGCGTCTTCGAGACCTTCAACGACGTCATTGGCCGAGGAAGATATGGTTCTCCTTGCCATATACGAAATGGTGCCGCTTCAGCAACTTAACTACAGCGCACCTTAAAAAAGGGAGATGCTGGAAAATGCCAGACGCCGGGATGCTACACCCGGCCAAGAACTTCATCCTGGATGCACTTGACTATGACCCGGACTTTGGCAACCTACTGGGAGTGTCCATGTTCAGGTTGGAAACAACCGCTTGTGATGGAACTATGTGCTGGACTGCTTCATCGTGAATTTAACTGGCTAGTCGGATTGATGGATGCTGCTACAGCATGAAAGATGATAAGGAACAACGGTTTCTGCAAAAGAAGTGGCTGATCCGGACCACCGACCCGCAGTTCCACCAGATTTTCCATGCCAAACGCTGCCAAGGAAGCAGGATGAAGACCGCGAAACCTCCAGACAAGCATACTATCCTCTCAAGATGGTAACTTTGACGGTCAATGGTTTCGTGCTTGCACTACGTTTCCGCTTGCACGAATGTGCGCGACAATGACTTCGCCTATGAGGACATGAACTGTGTCCGGCGACTCAAGCCTCTGCAAGGTCCAATGAAGTTTTCCGCTTGCGGGCATCTTCAAGAACTACTTTGCCTTTTGGCTTTTGGCCTGCACGCCGGTTGGCGGGCCCACTTTGGGCACAGGCGCGGTTGACAAAGTGAAACCGTAAAAGTTGCTAAGATAAGCAGAAAAATGTGAAGTCGTCCCTGTGCCGTTGCCATTGGCCAGTGTCCAATGCGGTCCAATTGACCAAATTTTTGTACCGGCAGAATTCTTCCAATTTTGTTGTCCACATGTTTCTGGGGCGTCCCCGACGTGGTCCAGCCGGAGTCCAACGCAAAATTCTTCGCACCCACCGGCTCGCAGGCAATGAAACAATGTGCCGTGCAAGGTTCCATTGTTGTGCGCACCATGTCACTGCCCATGTTGGTACGCCGGCATCCGAAACAAATACACGAACACGCTCGTTCCAACAATGCAAAATGTCATGCCATTCATCTGACCAATCGGTCCATGAAGGTGCACGCAAAGCTTCCGAAAAGTCACGTCGATTTTTTCCAGTTGTTCCCGAAAGCATTGCGAAGGGTTCTTCCGGAAAATCCCTTGAACACTGACACTTCGACGCTTACACTTCCACACTGACACTTCCACCACACTTGCACTACAACACTACAACATGAACGCTATACGTACCCTAGTGTAAGTGGAAGAGCGAAAGCATCCAAGTGCAAAGTATGCAAGTGTAAGTATGCAAGTGTAAGTATGCAAGTGATGAGCACGCAAGCATGCAATGAGTATGCAAGCATGCAATGAGTATGCAAGCATGCAACGAGTTGGCAAGTGTGAGCATGGAAAACTAGTGGAAAACTAGCACGGGAGATGTCCTAATGAAAAACATTTCCCCACTGTATAAATTCCCTCTTAAACGCGGAGGGTGGGACGAACAGCGTCAACCGAAAATGCAACCCTCTGCGGAGATCGTGCGTGTCGAGTGCGCGAAATGAAGGCGAGAGTGCGATTTACCGGCTGCCCGCGCAACCCCCTGCGGAGATCGTGCGTGTCGAGTGCGCGAAAGGCAGGCGAGAGCGCCGGGCGTCCGGTCCGCGCGCAACCCTCTGCGGAGATCGTGCGCGTCGAGTGCGCGAAATGCAGGCGAGAGTGCCGGGCGTCCGGTGCGCGCGCAACCCTCTGCGGAGATCGGGCGTGTCGAGTGCGCGAAATGCAGGCGAGAGTGCGATTCGTCCGGTGCGCGCGCAACCCGCTGCGGAGATCGTGCATGTCGAGCGCGCGAAATGCAGCCGAGAAGGCGATTTGTCCGGTGCGCGCGCAACCCTCTGCGGAGATTGTGCGCGTCGAGTGAACGAAATGCAGGCGAGAGCGCGATGTGTCC